GTGGGGGCGCCAGAATCAAGTGGGGGGGGGGGGGGGGGGGGCTGCCTGAGTTTACACTTGCCTAGGGCAGCACAAAACCATAATACACCATTGGCATCAGCAACACAAAACTGCATAACCACTATTTGGTGAAATTGGCTCTTAACCACCTTGTGACCAGAGCTCATTGATGCCCAGATGCCAATGCCAAATTTAGCTTGACAAACAATATACTAATAATTAGCATATCCAAATAATATTTTAGATATATTTTAAAGGGACATAAGTCAGTTATTGGCATTTAAAAAAAAAGAAGGAAACATAACATAACACAAATGGTCCCTCTCTCCTTTTATCAACTTCATTAATTAAAAAATGCCTTTTAGTTAACATATTTCAATCGGTTTACATGCAGTTACATGACCACTGGCCCTCTGTTTAGATCAGGGGTAGGCAACTCCAGCCGTCCAGCTGTTGTGGAACTACAAATCCCATGAGGCATTGCAAGACTGACAGTTACAGGCATGACCCCCCCAGAGGTAAAATCTCCCCAGAAGGCAGGGGAGAATTGCATTACTCTACAAACCCCAAATCTCACGGGAGGGAGGATGTCGTCACCTTTGCCTGGGTGCCATTGGCAGAAGTCAGGGAAAGGTAAGTAGATTTTTACAGTGATTATATGCGAGGGGGAGGGGGGCAAATGTAAAACACGGACCTTACTGTATACTGGGAGGTTCTTTTAGGAGGTAACAGCCGTTGTATTGACTACCAGGACCCAGAAATGTGTAACTGTACAATGGACAGACAACATAGTGAGGCTTAATAGCTGGAATGCTGTGCGCACACTTACTTGTTTGGTGCGCCTTGGAGGTTAGTTAGTAATGTGAAATTATTCCGTACACTCCGCAGACTGGCCAGTACCTGGGAAAATGATACACGATCAGTATACAGCCTGATCTATAATGCTGTAATAATAAGGCAACTATGTAACAAATATACTGCTGCACATCAGAAGTCTTAATGTTACCTGTAGGTACATACCTGGGCAAACGGAGTAACAATCAGGTCATCCCCATGCCTATAAAAAAAATAAAGAAGCAATTTATCAAACTGAATTATACCTTATATACCTATATATATACAGTATATATGAAGACCAATTTTTTTAAAGTTTTGCATAGAGCAGAGAGGGATTACAAAACAGGTCAGGTCTTGCGTTCTGCGTCCCCGTTAGGGAGATTCACCCCCTTTATTTGTCCTGGTGACCATTATCATTGAAAGTGAAAGAAAATCCCAAATTGTGGGTTGCCCCCAGAATAGGAATAGATGTGAAGTCTCCCAATGGGGACACTAGTTCTGGTGACCACGAGACCAGAGGGGATTTCCCTCACTTCAGAGGGATTTCCTTACATTTTCTGTTGTGTCTACTGGACAGGAAGCGAAGGATAATCTCCCAAATGGGACACAGATGGCACAAAAAAGCTGTCAGGGGTCATAACCCTCCCTTACTTTATCCAAAACTAGAAAAAAAGTTTGATTGCAGAACAAAGTACAGGCGCCATAGCAAGCAGTCAGTGTTTTGCTGTTCATAACGGGTCTGGTTGCTGTGGACAACTACATCACTTGTGCTCCGAAGCTGATGAAGCCGCTGTGTATCCCATCCCCCTCAGCTTTCCAGCAACCAACTCCAGGCTAAGTGACACTTACGTTTTAAAAATCCATTTGTGTTAGCTCCCCTCACCTTTTCTTTGTAAATGTCACTTTTGCTTAATATTCTATAGCAATGGGATGCACCAATACCGATACTAGTATTGGTATCGGTGCCGATACCGAGTATCTTGGCAAGTATTCGTACTCGTTTAAATGTTCCGATGCCTAGCCTGATACCCAAGCTTCCACTATAAGGAAGCTGGACAGTGAGTCATTACACGTTACCCGGCTTCCTGATTGGCCGGGAAGCCGGCTCCATGCTCCCTCATCACTTGGTGACAAGGGAGCATGGAGCCAGCTTCCCGGCCAATCAGGAAGCGGGGCGCCATGTAATGACTCACTGTCCAGCTTCCTGATTGGTCGAGAAACTGGCCAATCAGAAAGCCAGGCGATGAGTCATTACCCACCCCCTGATTGGCCAGAAAGCCGGCCAGCTCCATGCTTACTGGTCACCTGGTGACGAGGGAGCATGGAGACGGATTCCCTGCTAATCGGGAAGCCGGATTGCGAGTCATTACATGCCTGTCTTCCTTAATGGGACTTTCGGTATCGGCGAGTACCGAAAAAAAAATATCGGTACTCGTACTCGATACCAAAAAAACGGTATCGGTGCATCCCTAATAGCAATAATAACAAAAAAAAGAAAACTGCGTGCCCCCCCCCCCCCAATCCATACCAGACCTGGTAATAATAATAACAACAACAATAACAAAAAAAAGAACTACAGCTTAGAGTCTCCCCCAAAATCCATACCAGACTATGGATATGGTAGGAATTTTATGAAGGAACTCCACCTAAAAAGAAAAAAATGCACCGCCCCTCCCCCACAAAAAAAATCCATAGCAGACCTTTACTGCAGCATGCATGCAGGACTGGGGGGAGGCAAGTGTCAATACGACCATACCAGGCCACATGCCCTAACATGGGGGGTGCCCGGTCCTGTATTGTACACGAGGACATCAATGAAGTGGCGGCTGCAGGACTGCTGAAAAGTAGTAGCTGTGTGGGACCGGTCATCTGACATGAAGGAACCCTATGAGAAGAAGGTAAGTCTGCCTGTTCTATGCCCCCTAGACTAAATGAACATCAATGGCGAACTTTAGGAATGGGGGGCTCGGGGCTACTACAACTGGGTACAGATAAAACATTTCTATCCACCGACAGGAATCCATGGACACCAAACTTACTGCTCACTTGCAGCCGAGGAGTTCCTGGACATGGTCTTTGGTGAGAGGTCATAGTCGCTGTCCGAGCGGTACAGGAAGGACTCCCGTCTCTGGTTGTGGCTGGGGAAGTTGGTGTGCAGCACAAGTCCAGATCCGGGACTGGCCTGGGGGTCCAGGGGGCTGCGTCCCACACTCGGGCCATTTTCAACATCAAAGCTGCAAATAGAAAAAGGAAAAATGATTATTATTATTATTATCAACATAATTATGAAAGAGATACATGGAGGTTCCTGTAAAACACCTGGCTGTCACCTCCAAGCAGCGTGCAATAGTAAAGTGATGACTGTAACTGGATACATTGTTATGAGAAGAAGACACAATATTGCTTTGTACAGTTCGGACTTTTCATACGTAAGATCCGGGATCTTCTCTGTGTTTTGCAAATATAACAACATCCCAGCTAAATACTTTTTTGAAGTTCTTGCCTCTCTCTGATGGAATCTCTCTATATAGAGTCTCTGAAATGTTTGCTAATAATTTAAATAATTTAACATAATAAAAATATATATATTTCATGAAATTATATTATATTATTATGATTATAAATGAATACAAAAATAATTAAAAAATAATTAATAATAATTAAAAACTTGCCAGAAACCTGAACAATCAACATCGAGTTTATGACAACAAAACACATAAGCAGCGGACCGCGGTTACTTTCAGTGAAAACAATTATTAGATCCAGAGATACAGACAGCTGAAGTTATCAGCAAATCTGGATTTTCAAAAAGTCAAGCATGGTCCCACCCCCGCCCACCTCTAGAGAGCCCCTATTGGTTGAATGGTCTCATCATCACCTTCAATGACCAATAGAAAGACTTAGGTACAAAAGGGTAGGCAACCTCGGCACTCCAGCTGTTGTGGAAATACAAGTCCCATGAGGCATTGCATGACTGACAGCCACAGGCATGACTCCCAAAGCCAGAGGAGTGATGGAATTTGTGGTTTTACCACAACTGGAGTGCCTAGGTTGCCTACCCCTGGCTTAGGTCCACGGGGGCAACATCAACACTAGAGCTGTTGTGGAATCACAAGTCCCCTGAGGCATTGCAGGGCTGACAGTTACGGGCATGACTCCCATAGGCGGAGGCATAAAAGGATCTATGTAGCTTTACCACAGATGGAGTGCTGAGATTGCCCACTGGTGGCTTAGGTCAACAAGGGTAAGCAACCTTGGCACTCCAGCTGTTGCGGAACTACAAGTCCCATGAGGCATTGCAAGACTGACAGCTACAGGCATGGCTCCAAGAGGCACGATGGAATTGTTGGTTTTACCCCAGCTGGAGTGCTTAGCTTGCCTACCCCTGGCTTAGGTCCACAGGGGCAACCTCAACACTAGAGCTGTTGCGGAACCAACGGTCCCATGAGGCATTGCAGGGCTGACAGTTACGGGCATGACTCCCATAGGCGGAGGCATAACAGGATCTATGTAGCTTTACCACAGATGGTGTCCCAAGGTTGCCCACTGCTGGCTTAGGTCAACAAGGGAAGGCAACCTCAGCACTCCATCTGTAGCAAAGCTACATATATATATATATTTATTTTTTTGGCATGTGTATGTATTAAATCAGGGCAGACCCTTGCACTACAGATTTGAGGGTAGATGTAAAGGAGATTGTACAATCAGATTGCATTACATATGGTCAGCTTTACGCAGAAATCTCTAGAAGACTAGAAGGATAGGGAAGCGTGGATAAATAACAGAAGCTCCATCCGGGATGTAGTAATTATTCTGGAGCTTCTGCTTTCTACTTAGCCATGTTGTCCCTGTGCAAACATAAGCTAATCCAACACACACAGCACGTCACGTGTTGCGAGCTGTTGACACACATATAAGTTTCTGTCCCAGGACAACGCAGCGCTGAGTGCGTGTTTACTAACAGGGTGTGCTGCTTTGTGGCCTATGTAAATCCAGATGAAGTATTGCAAGCGTTGGTGTTTACTCACAAGCAAAGGCTGTAATAAAGACGTCAGCAAAACCACAGAATAAAAATCACGCGCCCGAACATATAAAATGTGCTACGCAAATATAACAAAATGAAATGCACATTCAGGCTTAACAAAGACACAACTGATTGTGAAATCAGCCTACAATGCGCAAAGATTTACAGCAAACTGCAATACACCTCAACGCCAGCAGAGGGCGGCCTTGCTCTACAAATGCATTGGGACAAAGCGCCTCACTAATTCTCACTTCGTAATATGTATTATAATAAATTGTTTTTTTATTGCTGTATGTGTCCCCATCGGAGAGATCATCTGTTGACCACCATTCTAGTCTTTTTCCACTCTATCCATAATCAAAAGAAAGATTTGGCATGAGTTTCCCTTTAATCAGTAAATACAGAAGGACCTGGGTGCCATGTAGTTCACAGAGACATAATGGTAGAGTGTGACTAGCCTACATTCACCAACATTCCTAAATTAGCCCCCTGCCATTCATGGACTTACCAATCTGCCCCAGTGGGTGCAGGTCGGTGTATGTAAAGGAGGATTTCAAACTGAAAGACCCATGTGAATGATATGCTGCATTCTCAGTGATGTCATCAGTCTCTAGTGAATGGATAGGCTGCATTCTCAGTGATGTCACCGGTCTCTAGTGAAGGGATAGGCTGCATTCTCAGTGGTGTCACCGGTCTCTAGTGAATGGATAGGCTACATTCTCAGTGATGTCACCGGTCTCTAGTGAATGGATAGGCTGCATTCTCAGTGATGTCACCGGTCTCTAGTAAACTCATTGCCTATTCTGTGAGGATAACATAGCTACACATTTATATAGTTTCACCCTTTTCATTTTATCTGAATATATTTGATTCTGTTCTATTTTTAAAGTAATCAGAATGATCCTCCCACTGAGAAGATATTTTTCTTTGCAACTTTTATATAGCAACAGCCATCAAAGCACCTTAATTACGAGCCATCCTACACGGGATCCGAGAGGGATTGAAGAAAATAGGATCAAAGCAGCAGAAGACAGAGGAAATGCTAATTAGGACATCATTAATTTAGGATGATTTTCAGGCTGGATGTGGCTGCCCAGACAACAGATGAGGAGGCCTGCGTTGTATGAGGATACGTGACCTGGGTCAGTTTAATGCTCCCACATAATGGGAGAGAAGACCGGAACTCTGCGCTCAGGAGATGGAAGAATGGCGTCAGAGGGGTATACGGTATAATCTCCCGGATGACATCACACACTGACCATGATCACCTCGCTGTTATACATTTGTCAGCTCACGATTAATGACCCCTAAAAGGTGAAGGCTGCAGTGCTGCAAATCCTCCAACCAAGGCCATGACTAAGGGCCAGCTGAACCCCATAAAATAAAACCATGCCAATAGCTTCATTGTTCATATGAATGGTAGGTTTTCAGTCTTACTATCACTTAGATAGTGACAAAGCCCACAGCCATGCTAACAAAAATCTTCACCCAACAGTCACGCAGCAAAGCCGAACCAATGTGGCCTGCCGCCTGTGGATGAGCAGCGGTCCTTCCTGCTGGGGTCTGACATGCCCTCTGTGAGTCAGAGCTGGAGCCCTCCAATCAGCAGGGAATGTGAGAAATGCTGAGTGGAAGGCTCTAGCTCTGACTCACGGGGAGCATTAGCCGCCATGCTGAGCGGAGGGCTCTAGCTGTGACCCTTTTGTGGTGTGAGCTTTCTGAGTGGAAGACTGTAGCTGACTCTCATGGGGTGTGAGCTCTACTGAGTAGGGGAGTGTAGCTCCAACTCATAGGGGATCATTACTGAATAATGGGCTGTAGGTAGCTGTGGCTCTAATAGGACGTGAACTTTCTTAGTGGAAGACTCTAGCTGTGATTTTCATGGGGTGTGAGCTTTGCTGAGTAGAGGGCCGTAGCTCTAATTCACAAGGGACATGAGCTTTGCTGAGTGGAAGGCTCTAGCTTTGACTCCCTTGGGACCTGAGATTTGCTGAGTGGAAGGCTCTAGCTTTGACTCCCATGGGACCTGAGCTTTGCTGAGTGGAGGGCTCTAGCTTTGACTCCCAATCGACCTGAGCTTTGCTGAATTGAGGGCTCTAGCTTTGACTCCCATGGGACCTGAGTTTTGCTAAGTTGAGGGCTCTAGCTTTGACTCCCATGGGACATGAGTTTTGCTGAGTTGAGGGCTCTAGCTTTGACTCCCATGGGGTGTGAACTTTCTGAGTGGAAGACTCTAGTTGTGACTCTTGGGGGGGTATTAACTTGACTGAGTAGAGGGCTCTAGCTGCAACTCACAGGGAAACTAAGGTTTACTGAATAATGGGCTCTAGCTGTGACTCTAATTGGGCGTGAACTTTCTTAGTGGAAGGCTCTAGCTTTGACTCCCATGGGGCCTGAGCTTTGCTGAGTGGAAGTCTTAAGCTTTGACTCCCATGGGGCCTGAGATTTGCTGAGTGGAAGGCTCTAGCTTTGACTCCCATGGGGCCTGAGATTTGCTGAGTGGAGGGCTCTAGCTTTGACTCCCATGGGACCTGACATGGGACATGAGCTTTGCTGAGTGGAAGGCTCTAGCTTTGACTCCCATGGGGCCTGAGATTTGCTGAGTGGAGGGCTCTAGCTTTGACTCCCATGGGACCTGAGCTTTGCTGAGTGGAAGGCTCTAGCTTTGACTCCCATGGGGCCTGAGCTTTGCTGAGTGGAGGGCTCTAGCGTTGACTCCCATGGGACATGAGCTTTGCTAAGTGAAGGGCTCTAGCGTTGACTCCCATGGGACATGAACTTTCTGAGTGGAAGACTCTAGTTGTGACTCTTGGGAGGTATTAACTTTACTGAGTAGTGGGCTCTAGCTGCAACTCACAGGGGAAGTAAGGTTTACTGAATAATGGGCTCTAGCTGTGACTCTAATTGCGCGTGAACTTTCTTAGTGGAAGACTCTAGCTGTGATTTTCATGGGGTGTGAGCTTTGCTGAGTAGAGGGCAGTAGCTCTAATTCACAGGGGACGTGAGCTTTGCTGAGTGGAAGGCTCTAGCTTTGACTCCCATGGGGCCTGAGCTTTGCTGAGTGGAAGGCTCTAGCTTTGACTCCCATGGGGCCTGAGCTTTGCTGAGTGGAAGGCTCTAGCTTTGACTCCCATGGGGCCTGAGCTTTGCTGAGTGGAAGGCTCTAGCTTTGACTCCCATGGGGCCTGAGCTTTGCTGAGTGGAAGGCTC